GAGAGGGGTCTCGTCCCCACATGCAGCCCCTTAAGAAGCCCCCTTACGTCATTCCGGCTTTCCTTCACCCCGCCCTTATGGGCGAATCCCCGGGTCCACCTGGTACCTGCCCCAGGACTATTGGGCGGGGCTAGGGTGACTCCCTACAGAGAACAGTTAAGAGCACTGACTGCTCTTTCAGGATCTGATTTCAGTTCCCATGTTGGGACAGTCTATAACCTATCTCAAAGAGCTCTGACATCCTCTTCTGGCCTCTGTGGGCACCACACACGTGACACACATACGCACTGTACACATGCACGCATGCACACAAAAATAACAAATAACAAAAGCCAATGTAGTCACTGGTGCATGGGATGTAGTTCCATGGTAGAATGCTTGCTTAGCATGCACAGAGCCTTGGGTTCCACACATACCCCTACCCCCACCCTCCACCCCCCACCCCTGAACCATTAAAAGATAAATATACAAAGCAGGCATTCACCAGAAGCTTCTTTGACAGGAACGACCTGCTTGACTGTTACCTGATGACAGGTCGTAGAGTGCAGTCACGGAGGTTATGAACTGGCAGCAGAAACGGGGACTGGCACTGAAGATCTGCTTCAGTGTCTGAACCGAGCCCGGAACCAAACAGCAGTAGTCGTCCACTAGGGCCCTGGCTAGTCTCACGCAGTAGATCACAGGCGTCCGCTGAAAAGAAGCCATGGCTAACGTCACTAAGGAATCCTGAGCTAGCAGGTAACAGCTGCATATCAACGGTGAGCCTACCTGAGTGGAAGGAGGCATGTTGGGCGGGGAGTGGGGGTATCCAGGAAACTAGTCCCCCTCCCACCCACATACTCGAGCACAGGTCTCCTGGGACTGCCTGCTATGCTAGAGGGCAGAGGTGACTCCTTACAACTGGGACCATGCGGCCCACAAAGCTGGAGTATTTATGTGAACCTTTTGGTGGTCCTTGTCGAGAAGCTGACTTTGGTTAAGGTGATTGCTGAGTCCAGACACCACAGATCAAAGCTAACCATTATTAACAGTTGTAGGTTCAAAAAGAGTCTGTGAACCATCACATGACAAAATGTTTGCTACAGTTGGGCATGGTGCTAGGAAGCCTGAGGCAAAGTGATTAGGCGCTTTAGCTAGCCCAAGATATATAGCCAAACATTTTGGGAGGTAGGAGGGGCTCAAGACGGGGTTTCTCTGTGTAGCCTTGGCTGTCCTGGAACTCCTTCTGTAGACCAGACTGGCCCCAAAGTCACAGAGATCTGCCTGCCTCTGCCTCACAAGTGCAAGATTTTAATTTTATTTTTAATGGTGTGTATACCTGTGTTTCTGTGTGAGTGTGTGCATGTGAGTACAGGCATTCAAGGAGGCCGGAAGAGAGGGACTGATGCCCTGGAGCTGGAGTTCTAGGCAGCTTCTAAGCTGACCGACCTGGGTACTAGGAACTGAATGAGAGCCCTTAGTAAGAGCACTCTGAGTTCTTAACCACTAAGTCATCCTTCATCCTTCTGCATACCATTTTTAAGATCTAATTGTTTTGCCTAAGAAACAGATTTTTTTTTATTTATTCTAAAGAGGAGGCCACTTCTTTATTTAAAAAAAAATTAACTTGGGGCCAGGTGTGGTATCACAAACCTTTAATCTGGGGAGGCAGATCTCTCTGTGAGTTAGAGGCCAGCCTGGCCTATATAGTGAATTCCATGTCCACCAAGGTTATACAGTAATAATATCCTTTTTAAAAAAACGGGGGATGGTAAGATGACTCAGCCAGTAAATCTCATGCCCCAAGAGCGTGACAACCTGAGATAAAACCCTGGAATCCACATAAAGGTAAAAGGAACAGAGACTGAATAGATGGTTCAGTGGTTAAGTGCACTGGCTCTCCCAGAGGACCCAAGTTTGATTGCCAGCACCCACATGGTGGCTCACAATCATCTGTAACTCTAGTTCCTGGATCTGAGGCCCTCTTCCAGCTTCCTTGGTTCGAGCACCAAGCACACAGGTAGTGCACAGACATACATACAGGCAAAACACACACACACACACACACACACACACACACACACACACGATTTAAATTAATAAATAATAATAATAATAAAAAAGGTAAAGGAAGCCAGGTATAATAGCCCACACCTTTAATTCCAGCACTTGGGAGGCAAATGAAGGTGGATCTTTGAGTTCATGGCCAACCTGGTCTGCAAAGGGAGTTCCAAGACAGCCAAGGCTACACAGAGAAACCCAAGGCTACACAGAGAAACCCAGAGAAAGTAAGAAGGTGTGAACTGACTTCTGTTACAAATCTGTCCTGACTGCCACAGATGTGCTGTGGTACAGGCAACCACACACACATCATACATGTACAATAATAATAAAAATTTTAAGTAAGCTGGGTGTGGTGGCATATACTTTAATCCCCAGCACTAGGAAGGTAGAGGCAGGTGGGTATCTCTGTGTTTGTGGTCAACTGATCTACATTTCAAATCAAACCCTGTTTCAAAAACAAAACAAATCATAACCATTTACTACCGTGTGCAGAAGAGGGCTACAATTCCAGAGTCAGGCACAGTAACACCTATAATCCTCAGGAGGCTCAGGCAGAAGGGTCATGAGGTTTGAATTCAGCCTGGGCTACATACCAAGTTCTCGTTTCAAACAAACAAACATTAAGCTCTTTAAAAAAGGGACTGGATGTAGCACCCAGGCAGCAATGATCAACACCATCACACATGTGTAAAAGACTTCTACAGCCTCCAGTTACATCCAAATTCTTGTTATCCTGTCTATGGAGACTCTGGGAAGTAAAATTATTTCCAGAACAGTACCTGGAGCCAGGAGGCCGCACATTCCAACACGGGGATCCGACACACAGCCACGGCCATAGAGACCAGCTTTCCCAACAAGCTCATCCGGCTGTCGTCGGCTTTGTTCCCTTGGGGGCTGAAAAGGGAGGAGAAAATTATCTGCCGTACAGAGTCCTTGCTTTGCTCCTGGAAATAACTGCACATGATTTCAAGAAGCTGGAGCTCCTGGAGCGAATTCAGTCTCTGTAAAAAACAAACCCGGGAGAAGCTGTGAGAGATGGGGGCCTGTTGCTGCTCTTTAGTTTCCACAGTAAAGGATTCCGGGAGTGAATGCCTGAAATCCCAGCACTCAAGAGGAACTTGAGTTGTCCAGGCTGGCTTGAGCTACACAGTACATAGTGAGGCAGTGTCTCAAACAAAACAAAACAAAACAAAACAAAAACTGTCCCCACCTCCCAGGGTGTGCTTTTTTCACCTCTCTGAAGCCTAAACCCGGGGTGGGGGGGTTGCTTAACCCTAGGACTACGCACAAGAAAGCCTTGCATCTAATTAAGCAACATCCCGGAGGGCTCAGGTTTGAGACTCTAGTGATGTTAAGTAGCCAGTCCCCAAAGTCTCCTCCTGGATCATTGGTGGGCGACTGTCACACGCCTGCGAAACAGGCACGCGGCTGAGCAACGCCGCTGGACTGCAGGACGGAGGCTGGAGGAGGAGGAGGAGAGACCTCGGGGCGAGCGCTTGTCACCAAGCGAAGGCACGGACGGGGCGGGCACCTTGGGCTGCGCGCCGCGTTCCTTGGGCA